ATATCTGTAGGTCTATGAAGCAGGAAAGCGATCTCAAATTAGTATAAGTGGTGAATCATATTGTGGAGTGAGGTTCTGAAGTGTCTATTGAAGAAAGGTTGGGTGTTGATGCGCTGGCAGCGGTAATGATGTATTTTGAGGGTGATGGCATTGAAGACTACGATGAATTAGTCGCCACACTTGATAGGTTCGCGTTCAAATTCCGTTCCAAGCTAAAGAAGTTTGAGCTAGATATGAAGAATCGCGACTCTCCACCTGTAAAACTGTCTATTGAAGAGGCTCCAAAATTGGAGCTCAAGGCTCTACCATCCCATTTGAGGTATGTATTCTTGGGGAGAGATGGTACTTACCGGTCATCATTACGGCCGATTTGAGTGAGGTACATGTTGAGACATTAGTTTCTGTGTTGAAAAGGTTCAAGCGGGCTATTGGGTTGACTATTGCGGACATTATTGGGATTCCTCCTGGCATTTGTTCTCATAAAATCTGACTCATGCCGGACAGCAAGCCTAGTATTGAGCACCAAAGGAGACAATCCCCCCATGCAAGAGGTTGTGAAAAAGGAGATCATTAAATAGTTGGATGCTAAAGTTCTTTATCCCATTGTTGATAGTAGTTAGGTTTGTCTTGTTCAATGTGTGCCCAAGAAAGGGGGAATCACCATGGTTCCAAACGCTAAGAATGAGCTTATTCCAATAAGGCCAGTGACTGGTTGGAGAGTGTGCATGGACTACCACAAGCTAAATGCATGGACAGAGAATGATCACTTCCATATGTCATTCATGGATCAGATGTTGGATCGTCTCGCTGGTAAGGGTTGGAATTTTTTCATAGATGGGTATTCGGGCTACAATCAAATCTCCATAGCTCTGAAAGACCAATAGAAGACAGCCTTCACTTGCCCTTATGGGACTTTCGCCTTCGAAGGAATGCCATTCGGGTTATGTAATGCTCCAACAACTTTCCAGCGTTGTATGATGTCGATATTTTCAGATATGATAGAGGATACTATCGAGGTATTTATGGATGATTTATCTGTGGTAAGTGACTCATTTGATCATTGTTTGAATAATTTGGCCGAGGTACTAAAATGTTGTGAAGAGTGCAATCTTGTGTTCAATCGGGAAAAATGCCACTTCATGTTGAAAGATGGGATCGTTCTGGGTCATCTGATTTTTGAGAAGGGTATTGAGGTTAATAGAGCTAAAGTTGAGGTAATAGAAAAGCTTCCACTACCTATATCTATTAAAGGTGTTAGACGTTTTCTTGGGCATGCAGGCTTTTAAAGGAGGTTCATCAAGATTTCTCCAAAATTGCACACCTATTGTGCAAATTACTCGAAAAGGAGTGTAAGTTTGATTTTGATGATGCTTGTCTGAGAGCATTTGGAGAGTTGAAAGCAAAGCTAGTTTCCAGACCTATCATTATTTCACCGGATTGGGGGCAACTGTTTGAAGTGATGTGTGATGTGAGTGGAGTGGCGCTTGGTGTGGTATTGAGACAGAGGCAAGAGAAGATTCTTCATCCGATTTACTATGCCAGCAAAGCTCTGAATGTGGCTCAAAAGAATTATACGGTGACTGAATAGGAACTCCTTGCTTTGGTTTTTGCATTTGAGAAATTTCGATCCTACTTGCTCGGTACTAAGGTCATAGTGCATACTAACCATTCTGCATTGAGGTATCTGATGGCTAAAAAGTATGCACAACCGAGGTTAATTAGATGGGTATTGTTGCTGCAAGAGTTCGATTTTGAGGTTAAAGATAGAAATGGGACAAAGAATTAGGTTGCCGACCATTTGTCCAGATTGGAGGAGGAGGCTATGCTCAAGTTAGGAGATGGGGCTGAAATTAATGATGTATTCCCAGACGAAAAAGTATTGGCTGCATCTTTTGATCTTATTATGTGGTTTGCAGATTTTGCTAACTACTTGGCCAGTGATATTGTTCCATCGGATTTATCGTTTCACCAAAGGAAAAAGTTTATGCATGATGTGAAGAAGTTCTTTTGGGATGAGCCTTACTTGTTTCGTATTTTTGTTGGTGGGATTATTCTTTGCTGTGTGCCCGAGGTTGAGATGATGAGTATACTAGAGGTGTGCCATTCATCGCCTGTTAGTGGGCATCATAGTGGTATTCAGACTGCGCATAAGATTTTGCAGATGTGGGTATTACTGGCCGACCATCACTACCAGAAAAAGCCTAATTTAAGACCAACATTTAGGGACGAGTGAATTATCACGTCTCTAAAAGTATATCTATTGAGACGAGATTATATTTCGGTCCTTATTTTGTACATTTTATAGAGAAGGTATTAAATCTAGTCCTTAAAAAATTAATTCACTGGTCCCAAATTATATTGAGGGCCTAGAGCGAGAGAAAATTTCCGCCATTTTTTATATTAAAATATTAAAAAAAATGAATTTCATTTCTAACAAAATTTTAAGCGCTAAAGTATATTGAAGCTGGGTAAACGAAAAGTCCATCGTTCAGTTTTTTTCTCAAAATACAGCAGCCCCTCGCCTAATGCCCTAGTTTGAGCTCTAATATCGCCATTGCAACTGATCAAGGTCATCACTTTGCCCTCTTCACGTTTTTTGCTTAATCTTGACGTTTCTTGACGTTTTTCTGCCCTAATCGCGTCTTTTTGCCTGTATTGTTGCTGCTCTGCTAAAAACAGGATTCCACCCAGCTTTGCTCGAAACAGAATTCTAGGTTGGGTCCTCTTTCGATCGAGTTTTTCTATATATATTATTGATGTCATTTTTTCATTGTTGTATTGAAGCTACTCGTTTTGTTCTTCCTGCTTAATCTTATATTGACGTTCCTCTGCCCTAATGGTGTCTTTTTGCTTGTATCGTTGTTGCGCTGCTCAAAACAGAATTCCACCTTAGCTTTGCTCGAAACTGAATTTCAGGTTTGTTCCTCTTCCGATCGAGTCACATCACATAATTCACATGTCCACCTGCTCTGGAATAACGCCAGAGAAAAATAAGTATTTGGAATGACTAGTTTACTAATCACCTCTATAGCTGCACTTGCTTTAGTCTCAGTCTGAACTATTAAAATTTCATCTGTACTCCCAACCTGCAAAACTAAATGGAGCATGTTAATCACCAGGTTTGCTGATTATAGTCGTCAATCATTTGTTCAGTTAATCAATTATGTGGGATTCAACTGTATATGCATGTGAAAACATAACATAAATACTAAGACACATATAACCTTATTTGATTCAACTGCTTTGCATTTTGCTGTGCATTCCATCTCTTGGATATCTCCAAAAAGCTGGCCAATCTAATTGCATTCAGGCAGTATATAGGCCATATTGAGAGTATTACTATATCAAACAATCTAAACAATAACTACGGGTAACCCTTCATAAAAAAAGGGGAGTAATAGCCTAGAAAATAAGGCTGCAGATAATTTGGTAGCTAATCAACAATAAAAACAGTCCTACCTTGCTTGCAATCAGTTTTTCTTGAGATACAGAACCATTCTCACCAAGACAATTCTCTTACTAATGTCATTTTTTCATTGTTGTATTCAAGCTGCTCTTTTTGTTCTTCCTGCTTAATCTTGATGTTCATCTCCCGATCGCGTCTTTTTGCTTGTGTTGTTGCTGCTCTGCTCAAAACAGAATTCCACCCAGTTTTGCTCGAAACAGAATTCCAGGTTTGTTCCTCTTCCAATCGAGTTGTTGTGTTTCTTCTATATGCTGTATTGATGTGGTTTTTCATTATTATATTCAAGTTACTCTATTTTTTATTCCTCTTTTTTAACTCCTGTAATTGAAAAATAGCGCCACTATAATGGACAATCAAGTTCCATAGATAAAACTCCACAATGGTGACTCCTATTTCACCTGTCGTATATGCATATAACATATCATGAATAGCCCTATCAGGATTCAATTCATAGACAGAAATCTATGCCAAATGCAATAATTAAGGTATCCCCATATATGTACTTGTCTAACTTAATATACATCTAAAATAGGGTGCTAAATATATTTTGCTACTGATACAAATTGATATAAGCGTGAAGCTTACGCTCCACCATAGCCCGTTCAAGCTTTAAATATCACTGAAACAGAACTAATTTGAGTATATGTTTTTAACCCCGTTTCATAGGTCGTTGAACGTAAGATTTATTGGGATCTTCTGTTTTCAACTTTGGAGGCCAAATTTCTCCTTTCTTAACCTGCAATATAAGGTAATAACAGTCTTACCCTCTTTGTTCCCTTCATGAAATCTCTCCAACTGGACACCTGATGATAAATAGAAGAAATGTTTCAAAACTCAATGCAGTAATTCTAGATTTTTTAACATGTCGGATGTCTTAACTGTACAACTTCATATCATCAGGAAGATTAGGTTCAATACGGTTATCTTGTTTGTCACTCGGGATTGTAGTAGGATGGATATAATTCCTCAACCCTAAACAAGAAGCTTAACTTTGAGACCTGAAAATGGAAAAAATTCTAGTATAGAGCACATCTTCGTTTAATGAGTCTTACACAACAGTTGTCTGAATTAGTCGGTGCCCCAAAACAGATACCAAACACGGAGTGGGAAACCAAAAAAAAAGATTATTATGTTCTAAAGAACCCAATCACCTGTGTTACTAGTTGTATCATTTGCTACAGTAAAAAAAGACACTATAGATTCAAAGAACAATCTTCATAGTAAAAGTACAGTTACATAATAGATGACATAAACCACTCAAGTTCATAGGCGATTGTCAACAGATTCATGTTCCAGAAATAAAGAGAGTCATTTTCTCGGCTGCTATAGCATCATGTCTTAGGTTCTTAGCTAAGAGATGAGATACCCATGACCCTACATAGAGCCAAAACCACTGTACGCAACTGCATGACTGATAAATCGAGTATGATAGGATTTTATATTAATCCTATCATACTATGCGTAGCTGCATGACTGAAATATATATATGAATTTAAATTTAATTCTCAAACTTAAATAAACATTCACTTGTATTATGAGTTTTGACTTATAACCACTGTAGCATATAGTTGGAATTACAAGTTTTCTTGATTCTTTCTTTATGTATTAGTTTGAGGATGCGATTAAGTAATTCTTAATTTTAAGATAAGTTAGTTATGAGCCAAGACTTTTTAATCACAAGCGACTACCAATACGAATTGTTTTAATCACAAGCGACTATTTTGCGTAAGTACAAAGCTATAGAAGATTACATGTTTTAAGATAAATAATCTTTTATGTTTGTTAGTGCAATTTGATTATTTTTTTGTTAAAAATGCATTTATTCATTTTTGGAATCCAAAATTCACATGTGAGTTGAGTGAGCTGTACAATAAGCCTCTTTGTCAAATAATTAGATACTCCATTTGATCTTATCTTAAGATGAGTTAAATGGAACAACATGAATAATACCTTTAGACAAACAATATACATTTTAACCAGTGGTGTATCAATCATAACACACATTTCTGTTTTGTGCATCTAATTATAACAAGTTGTATGGATCTTAGTATTTTTTTTAATCCTTTATCTTTTTTAATCTAACTTATGTACTTTTCAAGGTTATGGCTCCGAGTAAAAAATGGATGGAACTAGTTGACCATCGACTCGATGAAACCTATTTAGTAGGCGTGCAAAAGTTTTTGGAATATGCTTTTCAGAAATTAGGAGAAGATTATGAAATACGATGTCCATGTGTCAAATGTTACAATACAACTTTAGGAACTCGTAAAACAGTTGAGACACATTTGCAAGTATATGGAATAATTAAGAATTATACTTTTTGGTATCACCATGGAGAACATTTGGGTGAGCCATTGTCAGAATCTGAATATGAATTTGAATTTGAATCTGAAGATGGTGATGAAGTAGAAGAATGTGAGAGTGAGGATGAAGTAGAAGAACTATTGAGAGATTTATATCCTAATCTTGATGGAGGAACTACACACACTGATGGTGACGATTACTTGAGGAGGAACCAAATGTTGAAGCAAAAAGATTTTATAGCCTATTGAAGGATTTCGAGCAACCACTATATCAAAATTCCAAAGCTTCAAACTTTCCTCTTTGTATTAAATTGCTTCACATCAAAAGTATGGGTCGTTGGAGTAATGTGTCATTTACAATGTTATTGAAAATGTTGAAAGAGGAGTTGTTGCCGGATGGCACCAATTTGCCAAACTCATATTATGAGGCAAAGAAGATAATTAAAGAACTCGGCCAACAAGATTGATGCTTGTACTAATGATTGCATGTTATACTGGAAGGAGGATAGCCAACTCGATCTTGCAAAGTTTCTGGGGCGTCTAGATGGAAGATAGCTAACACATAGCGGGGAAACAAGGAATAA